TGCCATGCTCAAATGCCACGCCTACTCTAGCTCAGGGATAAGGAGTGTATGTTCGACGGATGGTGATGCTCGTATCGCTTCATCTGTGAAATACAGTATGAAGAAAAGGGATTGATATGGAGCGGCTGCAGCACTCTGTGGGTATATGAGTACATAGATGCAGCCGTATCTATCGCAGCTGGCACGATACCAGCGGGAAACCCGTCCGAAATTGCTTTCCGAGTCGTGTAGAACAAAGGCTTTTGCAAGTTCTGATTCGTCTCACTTCGTTTTTTCCCCGTTTTCTCACTAAATAGCACTCTCGCTTCATTTGGGACCGAGTACCGAATTATCGTGCCTTTGCCCTTAGAGACCAGGTCCATCAGTTCATCCAGTCAATCATGTTTTCAGTGTGGTCCCAAGCATTCATCTCCGAAGTCCTGTACACCGAAGTCGAAAGTGCCAAAGTCCTCTACACCGAAGTCGAAAGTGGGCTGAACTCAAGCAAGAGGCCTACACCGATCTCAGCGGCGAAGTTGTCAGGCAAAAAACGTGCTCCTCTGTCGTCACAGAAATCTGTTCGAATCACGCGAACACCATTTCGAAGATCTAATAGGTTCCACAAAATATAACCCCATATATCCTTTAATTTAATGTCATGTGATCAGCGAGTTCATAGCTTCATAATTATTACTTGTTACAAAATTAACTTCTGTATCTCGTCAAGTATTATTGATTTTCATACTAGAATTATTTGGCTGTGTAATAACACGTTTTCATTTAACTTTACTTATTACTGATGCTAATCTTCCTTGACGCTAACGTATTGTGGGGAAGATGTTTTACTTAGCTCTTTTTGGTTTTTCCGTGGACAAGGCTTTAGGCGTAGTGCACAGACAGTCATAGAGAGGACTCTGCCCCGCAAGGGTATCTCATCTCACCGCCTGCGCTACAGTCCTTAGCATTGTGTAAGGAAGAAGAAACAGAAGTGGTGTCATGTGCCTCCTCAACACCCCTCCCTTCCCCCTCCCTCACATGTTAATACCGCCCTTTATAAGAATCTCATAGTTCTGTTAAATAAACGCAAGGTTCCTACTGTAACGTTTTTCAAGAGTTTCTATAATGTGAAGATAACATCTTGCGTACTAACGTTGTAAATAGTATAGCGCTGTGAATAAAAAGCTTTGTTGTGATGTATTAGGCGTAACTATCGTACTTAGGACTTTTCAAAGTTTTTCATCTAGAGCCGCAGCAAATCGTGGA